TCTTAATATCATTACTGATAAGTAAGGTATTTTAACAATTGTATCAATGCGTTATTAAGTCTAATAAATCATTTGAAAATTCTATTATTAAAACGAAATATTTGTTTTATTTTTTAAATCAAAATCGTTTTTATTTATAACCACGTAAACATTATTTATGTCTGCTATTTACATAATGGGAAAATAACAATAATTTCCAAGCATCTTAACAAGGCAGCATCAGAAGGGTTGATTCATGTTACATATTTCCATGTTTCTATATCACACAATATGTTATACATGTGACCTTCAGATTAAGAGAGAAAAAGCAGCATTGTTCTTTGTAAATTGATAAGAAATGCCACCTTATCTCGAAACGTTACACTTAAGATTTATTCGCATGCTTTGTATATTTTTTTTTAGTTTCAACACTTTCATAGAAGTTTGTCGTTGTCAGCGATTCACCGCACATTCTTATATTGTGATTTTTGTTGGTTTTGGTATAAAATGAACTTGGAAATGTAATTTGAAATTGAAAAATTAATGGGTTTATGTGAAAATATCAACTGTGATTTCTAAACATTTTATAGAAAGCAATGACATATGTATGGCGTATTCAAATTTAGATTAGGATTTGTAGAGTTTCTTTTAGAGTCCTCCACTTTGCATATTATTCAAGTTACATAAACAGGATGTGCCAATAGAAATCCATTTATTTTACATAAGTGCATAAGTTTCAAAACAAAATTTAATTGAAATCGCTAATTTAAAATATATGAAAATACTTTATTCATTTTTGTTTCTTATAATTATTAAATACAAAACATGGAAGTAATAAATAAAATTTTATAATTTATTAATGAATGTACATTTACAGATCGTTCTACATGTGTAAATATTGAATATCACTACTCTTCGTACTTTCAATTTGAAGAAATAGTTTAGTAAAACATGAACGTACACGAGGGATGAATTTAGTAAATTGCTCACGTAAATAGGTATCAATAATATATACATTTTGTGGTGTAATTCTAACCGACCGTAGGGAAATACATTTATAAAACTGTACTTTAAATTAATTTCCCTTTGGTCAAAATGACAAATACATTTTGCAATTTATTTATTTAAATGTACACCTATTTTTAAACGAATTATTTGTAAAATATCAAATAATTAAAACTGAAATTGGATATGCGTATGAACATAATTTAAGCAAATTCGACGAAAAGTGCGTCTTTTACAAGTGAAAACGATTTGAACCTGCCGTGTGGAAAACCATGTTCCATCAGCTGAAAAAGGTATGCAGTTTATATGTAAATTGACATTGTTTTAATATTAATTATAGTATTTTTTTGGTGTCAAGATGTTTGGTTTTTCATATGTACTGTATATTTTTTTTGCACGATTTCTTTTACACTTATTTTTCATGAAAAAAAATCCATGTCAAAATAGGTTTTAGTGTATGTATAAATGCAGTAGGTGATCGTTTAAGAGTTTGAAATAAATAAATCGGACAACGTACACATTCACTATAAATATGTATGTTCGGACAAAAAACATATGTTCGTATAACGAATACCTTACCATTATGAAATTTAAGCTGCTCCTTAAATCAATGATCGATTTACGTACAATTCTGGTAACACACATCGCCTTTAAACGGATTATGTTCGTTAACCGAGCACCCACTGTACATTATTAGTTTCTAAAATAATGTTCATATAAATATATTTCTTCCGTCTTTACTTCAATGTTACTTTTTACGAAGATCATTTATTATATTATTTGTTACAATATTATAAGATTATAATTACGCTTGCACATTTTTCCTTACTGATCATGTTCATTCTTTGTTGTTTAAATGTACATTGTTTTTCTTATTACAGAGGCGTCAGTATTGATTTATTGATTATAAAACTTTCCACTGTTTCGAAAATTACAAAAGAGTTGATATTTCTGTATCTGTAACTTCTGAACTAAACGTCAGATTGTCATGAAATTTTGACAGGCGTTGTCTGAAGGTTGGTATTTGTCGATAGAGGCGTCATCTATATTTTATTGTATTGAGTGAGGTGTTAGTATATTTGAACTAATATAATGAACTACAGTAATGTAGAAATGTATTTAGTGAACTAAATTTTGGAATACATACACTAACAGACTTTTTCGTTTCAATAACAAAAACACAACTGATTAATTATTTTAAATATATCGTGATTAGAGTAGAAACTCAAAATGTCAATTAATAATTTATTAGTTTTTAAAAATCTAAAAATTTAAATGAAATTAAAAAAAAAGATTCTCATACAGGGTGGCCCAATTTAACTGCAACCAACTTAAAACTGCTATAACTTTGGAACTGCAGGCAATGCTATGTCCATATTTTGCATAATGATAGATGATTTTATTGTTTATAAGCCTGCAAAAGCATTTGCATCTCAATTTTTTTGGGAAAAAATATCCGTGGTGGAATTCATACGCAATAGTTTGAAAGTGGCTATTGTTAGAGCCCTTGAACACCTCAATGTGAATAAATCTTTTGTGTCAAAATCCTATTTTGGTGGTAGGAAAAAAACCACATCTGGCAGAAGGCATAAGTTATTCGGAAAGTTAAGCTTAAGGCAGTGGAAGACAAATGGCTTATCAGCGGAACATATTGAAAATATCCATGCAACGAATACTAAAAAACGAACTCAAAGTGAAACCTTACAGGTTCCAAAAAGGACATGATCTCACTAATTAAAAAAGAAACTAGGCTCAATAGAGCGAAGGAGCTGAGCTGTTGCGCTTGCACGAACGTGGCCAATTGCCAAATATAGTCTGGTCTGATGAGAAAAATTTCCCAATTGAGAAATTCTTAAACAAACAAAATGATCAAATTTACTTAGAAGAAATGTCAAACAAAAATTTAGACATTCGAATGGTCACAAGATGTCAAGCACCATCATTTGTGGTAGTTTGGGAGACTGTGACGGTCGATAGTCGCTGATGTTTTTGGACCGTGGCGTCAATATTAATGCGAATGTCTACTACGAAAAAGGTTTGGAAGGAAAAATGCGCTCGACTTCTTGATTTTGGGCATTTTACAGGCCAATGTCAGAACTAAAAATAACAGAGTATTGATGTGCTCAAGAAAACCCTTCTTTCGTGCAGCGTGCCACTCGCTTGTCGACTAACTCAGAGCCATAGGACACGCTAAAAGCGGTCATATCGAAAAATTTAAATGTTTTGCAATATTTTTTGCTTGTAGTTCAATAAAATACAATTTCAAATAAAAAAAAAATACAGCGGTCTGAAAGTTTCAGTTCAATTGGGCCACCCTGTATATTTTAAATAGTAAAACAAAAGTTCTAATTCAAATTTAATAAGAATATGACGGTGGACGGATGGAATTCTGGTGTTGTCGTTGTGGAGTCTCAGTAGTTGGGAATTAAATAATTCAATTGGTTTTACATAACTTTATTCGTTACTTGGTCGATTTGAGATTCATCTAAGACTATGCTCGTCTTAGGTTTTTATGAGACTATATCAGTCTTGAGGGTTTTACTGAGACTATGCTCATCATATAAACGTTTTACTGAGACTAATTCTAAATAGTTATTCTACTTCCAAAGTTAATTCTTATTAATACGGGGTGGGAGTTGTGATCGGGAGTAGGGTTTGTTTATATTGATGACTAAGCGTTCCCACGGGAATCGGCATCGGTGGTTTTGTTTATTATAAGACCGGGACAAATTCCTATGCATTTGTTTTTATGAATAAGATGATCGATTACAATTGTACATGTAACGATCTTTATGTGTTTATAATAAGGACTTGAATTCGGTATAAAGGTATAGGAGTATCGATGGGAATGTTTACGCTTGGTCCCCTTTGTTTATATTAAAGTGTATCGAACTGGAATCACGGTAAAGATTCCTTTATACTTATGTTTATTTTTATATAATAATGCGACTAAGAGACGCCTTGGATGTCTCTAGTTCGTTAATACATTATGCTAATAATAACAATTACAATAATAATGGTTGGACACAACAAATGTTTTTTTTTTCTTATACTTTTTCAATTAACATATCTTATAATTTAAAATTAAAATGTTTATAAAGATAAAAAAGATTTAAAATGCATTATTTTTCAAGATTTTCACATTTGCGAAAATATCTAATTTTAAACAAACCGACGAGATTTATATAAATATATATAATTTATGTTTATAACAATATAACAAGTAGAACTTTCTGCTATAATTGTATAATTTTCTGAAAATTTAGTTTTTTTCTTTCTTCTTCGAAAAACATATGTACAGAAAAATATATATTCAAATTTTTGATAATTTATTAAACTTGAAGCCTTAAAAAAGAACGCGAAAATATAGTTCAAAATAGATTTCGTACAAAGTAAATTACTTGTATTTATTACTTAATATAATACTTAACAGTGAGTGATCAGTTTGAAATATGTAAAATCTTTATGGTTATATTTTTATATTACAATATGGAATTTATAAAACATAATATTTTTTCAAAACATTGATAAATTAGTCGTAAAACAACAAGTACATTGTTTGCTCAAAACAGGCCGTGATTGAAAAGAAAACAACGTTCTGATTGATGAATCAATTTCCTAAACAAACAAAAAAAAAATGGAATTTAGTGAAATCGGAAACGCGGAATTGAAAATGCACGTACCATTAATTATGTAAGTTATAAATCTGAAATATTTATGGATCTGCGTATGTGTTACATGCAGCAAAAATAAAGTTGCCGGAGAGTTTTATTACATGTTTTGGAAAATGATTTATTAATAACAATTTATTGGAAACGCAATCTTCGGTGTTTGTTATCATATATATATTTGGCTTACGACACTTTGCCAATAAATCTCCGGTTGATTTTCGCATGGTTAATAAATTGAGATATTTATAAATGTTTGCATACGGAAGACGTGACAAAGCTGGAAATAGTTTCGAATAAAATAAATATTAGTTGTTTATTGAATCTATATTTTCTGTTTTGTTGCAGAGATGATTTACGATGACGTGCCTTAATTGAGTCGAAGGCAACAGAGATTTCCTGTGAAGATGTCTTACGAATTGGTGGTTTTATTTATGCTCATCGTTAGTTACAAAGCGGCTAAAATTGAAGATGATAGATCCGAATGTAATCAATTCTCCAACTACTTGGATAGACTTTTGTGCGAGGTGAGAGAGAATTCGCAATTGAATAAACATGTTGTTAAGAGGGATTTGAATGCTACTTATTCGATTAATGAAACGAACATTCGGATCATTGACGAGGAGGAGTACCTAAAGCAAATTGAGGCTTTTATATACCCGAAAGTCTGGACGTGGGTGCTCATAGGATGCCATGGACTGGTCTTCGTTGCTGGATTAATTGGAAACACGTTGGTTGTGGCTGCTATAAGACGCAACCGCAGAATGAGGACTTTTACTAATTACCTGATCGTTAATTTGGCTGTGGCCGATTTCTTGGTGCTCATTCTATGTCTACCACCTAGTGTCATTTGGGACGTCACTCTTACATGGTTCTTTGGCACTATAGTGTGCAAAGTTGTCTTATATCTACAGGTAAGCTTTTTTAAATTACATTTCACATAATCTTACAAAAAAATATATTATACTTGCCATATTATCAACAATTATTATTACAATAATGTATGAATAGTGCAACAAACAAGTAAATATTATATAAACACATATTCGGTGATTAATATCATGGTACTTTACAGCAATACCTCCCATAGTGCGGATAATCTGTTCCACCAATATTCGAAACTGTTTAAAACAGGACTAATCAAGGAATTTAAACGTTTTATAATAAATCCCACAAAAAGAGGATTGACTGTATAATGTGAAAAAACGTTTTTTGTGAAACAAACCAGTCAATTCTATATAAACACATATTCAGTGATTAATATCATGGTACATTACTTAAAAATTCGCATACTGCAGATACTCTGTTCCATCAATATTCAATACTGTTTAAAACAACTTTTAAACCTCTTTATGTTTATAAATTGCACAAAAAGAGGCTTGACTGTATAATGTAAAAAAAATAGTTTTATTTTGATTAATTAAAATTTGATTTAAAATTTTCAAACCAGAGTAGAAGATGATATTTGTGTACTGTTTATTTTCAAACGGTTTTAATGTCCTAGGTTAGTGCGATTTCAAGCAGTGCGGGATATTTATATAACCAAATACCTGTATTTCTTATATTATATTAAACTTGAAATTTGAATAATATTTAAATTACATTAATTTAATATCAGAATCAGTTTACTACAAATGCAATAGAAATTGGTATAGTTTTTATTTCAGATGCTAAAATCATTCAATTGGAATGCCATTCGAGAACTGAAGTTATTTCCAACTACTTTATGACATACAATTTTCAATGCTATTTGCAATCAAATCACCTATTAAATCTCAAAACCGAACATGATATTTGATATTTCATGTGGCTATAAGATATAATAGCATTAATTTTTTTTATTATTTATTACTTACGATTCCTGAATATAAATGGTATGAACAGGATAAATTTTGAAATAATATAAAATCAATATAATATTATAAGTGATCCATTTTTCTGATTTATACTAAGTACATCACTTAACAAAAATAAATACTGCATTCATTTAATATATATAATATGATTCTCTGGATATGACCACGAGAGAGCTGTTAGTGTTTGAAACTTATGAAAATAATCAAAGTTGCGGAATGGAGAAGGAGTAAACACTGCGAAAGAGTTCAAGTGCTCGGTTTTATATTTTAACAGAATGGAGGGTTGAAAGCGCACTATATATGTATGTCAGACCTCGTCGAGGATTGAAAGAGAAGTCGGATACACGGAGTTAGGAACTCCTTCAAGCAAGAGATAGTTCTTTTAGAGATGTATCCCATTGTTTACTGTGAAAATATAGCTTGGATGTACGTGGAATCTACAACAAAAACTCACATATTGCGGTTACGATTAGTCCGGATTCACTATAATCCGGTTTGAAAACGAAATTCTAAAAAATAACACAGAACATATTATTTTTATTATAAATAAATGATCGCGTTAGTGCGACTTCAAATAGTCCAGGATGTTGGATGTCGAAACCGTTGGATGCGAGGTAGTGCTGTATTTTGTATGGTTTTAAACAGCGAAACCGATTACCCGTAGTATGCGAGGTATTGCTGTATTTAAGATGATCCATGTCAAAGTTATATGTCCATAAATGAATATTAATTAATGTGTCAATTCCATGCAAAACCATCAGAATCGATGAATATATGATACATTTTGTTACAATTCTATTATGCACTGAAAATTCAGTTGCACTAATGATATAATAATGTAATCGAGGCATTATTGAATTATTTCATTACAGAATATGTGAGTCACGTAACTGCAGCAGTTATTGGATTTAATAATCATATTTGTTGCGCATAAATAGTAGAAAACACTTGTATATGAAGCTATTACCTCTTGAATTTCGTGTTAGTTTTTACTTTTATTTTTGTACTGATAATATCGTATTTTATTGCAGTAGAAACATAAAACTTTTGTCGCATTTTCCATTTCTCGTTTAATGAATTTATTCCACCGTTGCAAGTATTCATTTCCTTTTTTAGCGTTTTTTATAATGTGCTCATGCACGTCCTTGTTTATTTTAAATATTTTTTTTTAATCTCATTCCAAATAAGTCTGAAATGACGGAAACAAGTCTTAAATTAAATTAAATATATAAAACTTCTTTTATGTCGTATGTCGTGTTCGTTGAGTAAATTTAAGATCGCGGTTGACATTAAATGGATAACATTTCCCGGTGGATAGTTACCATTATGATGATTTGATTTTTTTTATTTTGTAGCGAATTTTTAATAAGTAGCGAAAAAATATTCGCCAACTTCTAGTCTTCTTTGAGGCAATATTCAATGTTCGAGCACACTTCATTGAAATACCCCAGATGCAATTGGAAATAAGCTATATCTTTCTTCTTACAATTTTATTCGAAGATTCACTCATTTAAAAAAATTATATATAATATAAAGACAACTTTTGTATTATTTATGTTCAATTTTTGGCGCCGTAACGAAAGCACGCAGGATAAAAGCGAGCAAATAAAAGGGCAGAGTCTAAAGCGAGCAGTGACAAAATCGCACAGACGAAGTTTTAAATTGAACTGTGACAATAATTAATTTGAATGTATAAAGTAGTCAACATATATAATATACCCTCTCTCCGAAAGTATGGTATACATTTGAAAGAAAATCTTAGATAATCTAGAGTTTCGAAAGTAACTGTCAATATTCATTATATGGGTCTTATTTATATTAATAACTAAATAACATAACATATTTGACAGTTATTGCTTTTTAGTTAAGTTGCAATTTGAAGACCAAAAATTATTTTTTTTTAGGAAAAATATAAGTCACCGCTGTAATTTCAAAATGGAAAATTTTAACACAATTTATAAAGAAGAGATGCCAAATCAAAGAATCTTGCAACAGCTATTACAATGTACGAAGATCAAAAGAAGAATTTTAACACAGTTCTACTGATGGTTGGATTATTCAATTTAAGTCACAACCACTACCGATTAAAACGTTCTCGATTTGGGTTTTTTATAACAGCTTCATTGCCAAAAATAATTGATGAATCAATTTAATGTGTTCAATTAATTGCCTCTCGAATTTTACGAGTTTCCTCTTCTAACTTATTGATTTTCAAAAAATATTTACAAGGAAATTATATTTACAATATCATTAGAATAACTAACACTAACACTTACAATTATTTGATAAATTATAAAAATATACAAAAAATAACACCATTTATTAATGACAAAAAATGTAAGATGTAAAAACGAAACAAATAAAGAAATTAAATATATCGTTTATATTCATATAAAAATCAGCAAGTGGTCCTTTTTAACCGATTTACATAACTATAAAATTGAACTTTTCATAAAATATTCATTTAAAACCAAGATATTTCAGTTTATTCGTTTTATTAGCTAAAACCAATGATTTTTAAATAGTTATGTAATTACATTTATTTATTACCTAATACCATACTTAATTCTCATTGATGTTGAGTTTCCCATTTACCAAAAAAATTGTATATAACATTATAATGGACTATTATTATTTCCACGAAAGCGAAATAAAATATTCGTAAGTTTTCTTGTGTTTATTTGTAAAGTGTTCTTTGTCTTCTTTAGTTTTCATTATGTATGAAACAATAAAGTTATTTTGAAGACGCTACTTTGGTGATTGGAATGTATCTTCTTATTGTTAAATAAGAGAAATATTTTATCGATGTGGAAGGGCAGAACATTTTATAAGTTCATACTGGATGTTCCCAAGTTTTATAGCGAATATGATATTTACGGATGAATTGAATTTACGTGCTGGAATTACGAACGCGTAAAAGGGTCCCCGAATTACACTCACTGCTTGTCTGGACTCATGTACATACGGGTGTATAGAGAACGATAAGGATAAAAGCCTTCGAAAGAGAAAGAAAAAAAGTAAAGGACAAAATAATGGTGCTAAGAAAGAAAAGAAAAATGAAAATACCCTGGAAAAGCAAACATTTTTGTTCTCGACGTATTTTCTTGCTGCCTTTTTCCTTATTTTATTACATCAAATCGAATGTGTGTATATTTGTTCTCAATGCCGATCGGATAAATGAAGAGCTTTCCGACTGTAATACTAATATAATCACATGTATTTGAAAAGGATGTCATAAAAGCATGTAATGCATATTGAACTGATCCATACTTTATACAAAGTGCATTTCTAAATCCGTTTGTATTATGAAGAATACCACATTTACAAATCTGTTTATATTAGTCACAATAGTTGGGTATTACTTAACCAAATGAATCATTTATAAACTTTATAACATGATCAATAAATTGAAATAAACAAAATACAGCAATACCTCGCATAGTACGGTTATACAAAAATATAATTATTTAATATTTTAATTAAAAGTAGTTGAAAAAATATTAAGTAAAAACTATGCAAATTCATATATTTTTTCTAATTATAAAAGTGTACTTCAAGTTAATGTATTGATGTCTTGAGTAATTGTTGTACTGAAGAGCTCTACTTTGATATATGGAATTATCAACGTTGCACGCATCGTCGTACATGATTGAAATATATTCCAAACAGAATAGATTGCATAATCTAAATATCGTCTCAATTTTGTAACAAAATCAAATCTAAGTGATTCTATTAAAATTGAATAGAAAGTCATTAATTTATTTTTATTCATAAAAATTGAATACATAAGGAACACAATACAGATTTACATAAATAGTACAAAACATTTAAAAATTCAAGAAAATTTACTTTATCACAAGCGGTCATAATAATAATTATATGACAATCAATTAAAATCTAAATTTTCTTATTTTATCCTTAATCTTCTTAAAATCACTGCTATTGGTAAAATCCAGTTTTTTCAATTCCCTCTCAATACCTTCTCTATCTAATTTAATAACAATCTTTGGATCATCAGCCTCTCTCTCTTTGATTTTCTGCTGTACAATATCCTCAACGACTACTAGACTTGTCTTATTGCTTAGTTCGTTCTTTAATGCTTCCTCGTTTTGCACGATTTCGTTCTGTTTCTCGGCGATCGTAGTAAGTAAAGTTGTAACTTCGACGTGATTTTTCTGCGTCTCCGTTTTCAGATCTGTAAGAATCTCCTCACGATGTTCTTTGGCTTCAACATGTTTTACCACTCGGTCATCTTTAGCTTCCTCGTGATTATCGTTCAAAGCATTCAAAGTTTCCTCGTGCTTATTTTCTCTATCCACTTTCGCAGCTTCTTCTGGATCTTTCAAAAGTATATATTTGAGAATCTCATCGAAATCAGTTTCTAAATTGCTAATATTGGTTATATAATTGTAATTGTAGACAACGTCGTCTTTTTCCCAATCGTAGATGATGTCTTCATTAGATTCATAGGAAAACCTTAATCTGTGCCCATAAGCTGAGGTGTTCGACTTCTTGTTTTTGTAGAAGGTATTCGTGGCTTTATCGTACAAACCAACTTTCGTGTAAATCTTAGCGCTTTTCCACGAATTGTTTCGCTCATCTTTAACCGTGTGTCCCATTTTAATAATACCTAAGTTATTCAGGAAGGTTGAATTATCGAAAACGATACTCTTGATAACAAGTTCATTGTTGATAGACTCGCATTTGTTTTTCTTAAGATAATTGATGTAGCGTTGAGCTGCATCATCTCCCAACTTCTGCATGGCTCTAGTTGGACCTCCGTTGCAGGTCAACCGCAGAAACTGCATCTCGTAGCAGCAGAAGATCTCGTAAGAAGCTTCGATCAAGATGTTCCTCACCTCTTCACTGTTGTTCCGGTGATAGTAAATGATGTCGGCCAGGACGAATGCATCGTCCTTGTCTGTTTTCTTCGCCATGAAGACATCGCTCTGTTTAATCCCTTCGCTCACGGCTTTCCCAACAGACGGTATGATCGCAGCGGCGCCTGCCAAAACATTTCCCGTTAAGCTCACGGGTTTACTTCCGGTGGGATTGCCCTCCAGTATATTCAAGTAAAACATAAATCTCTCTTCGATTTTCCTCAGGAAGTAGTAGATAAAGTCATTTATCTGCGACTCGACGAACGCTTTATCCGGCGTTTCCATCTGAAAGTGCAAATTCGATAAAATATTATTAATTTAATACTAAAATAAATAACAAAATATTATTTTATATATTTAAAATTCAATTTACTTTCGATTACGTGAGAAGCAGCATTTTCAAAGCTAATAATGGATCAATGTTTAGGCCAATTATCTGGGCCAACGAACTAGATCATAGTCCTATTAATAGACAAGTTACATACGTTATGAAACCGAAAAGCAGTTAAGATTAAGATTAAATTTTTCTTAAATAATAATCATACAAACATTGGTTTAATTTCATTTAAATTAGATTAGAATTTTCCTCATTTCTATTAATAGACACAATATTATTATAGTTATTATAGTACAAGTTATTTAGTCGAAAACAATTATTGATTTATTTCAATTTTTGTTCTTATTTAAATAATTAACATTTATAAACACAAAAGATAAATATTTACATAAAATAGGTTAGCTATCAAATTTATTTAGTCAGCACACAGTTAATATGTACATACATTTATGTACGCTAACCGAATGTACGTTAATCAGATAAGAAATAAAATTTATATAAATTTGTGGGCATGAACGTACTCGACCTTCATATGTAAGTTCACTTTATCATCATGAACAGGGAAGTACCAGACATATATCAGTCAGATTGTGTTATTATTTTTTTTACTCTAAAACCAGACTCTACACTTGAACATAAAATGAATATATTCATAAAATGATTACAGGATTCAGTTAACGCATAGAAAATTCCGTACGTTAACTGAATAAATATTAGAATTTTACTTGACTTTCGAATAAATTATTTTTTTCATCAATTTGAGATAAAATTAGTCAAGGTCTCAATATAAATTGAACATATATTAAATGCTCAATATTATTACTCTGTGCACAACCTAAACCAGTTTAAGTGACATCATTGTACGTACACACGGATATTTGTATGTTAGAACGATTAGCGTGCTGTAAATAATGATATTCATATTATCGTACGTTAAATGTATACTCACTGTATGAAACCATTGCACAACTGTTTATATTAATCATATTATAAAGATTAATGAAAAAAATAGTGTCATCTGGCTTTCAATAATAAAGAATAATTAAATACTTTAACTGTAGTATTTGGAAACAATGTATATTGGAACGATATCACCCTATGAGCATTAATATCTTACAAGTCATTTTGGTGGTAATAGCCCTTAGGATATTCTGCAGATGGCTTTTCTGTAATCCTATTAAAAAGCAATCTATAACGTAAATCCACAAAATCAAAGTGGAGCCAAATCATTGGAATGCAATTCCTCGTGAATAACTAATAACAATAATAATCACTGCATTCACAATCTCATAAATAACTATTGTCTATAAGTTGATTAACTTATTTCCGATACTGAAAACTACATCTCGATTTAATTTAGAGATTAAAATATATAATCGACGAGAGCGTTTCGAGTTTTACAGAGGTGTCATGAAATTTTTAATTTTATAAAACATATACACAAACAATATATCCTAGTAAACTGTCTAGAAACTAAAATTCAAGATTTAAATTATCCTGCAACAAGGGACATTTCAGCATCTAGTCTTACTCAAGGAAATAAAGGTGTAGTCAGAAATTGACAGTGAACAAACAATGTTTCAGTTAACATATTTTATATTATACTCATATATTTGAATTTATATACAGTGGAACCTCACTTAACGAATATAATCCGTTCCGAGATTTTCGGATGTTTACTCGTATAGTGAAACAATTTTCTCCATATAAAGTAATGTAATACGACAATGCGTCTCATTTTGAGCCATGTTTTTTACAATTTATTTTGCTTGTTAAGCGAAATGTTTGTTGTGTGAGGTGCTCGCTAAACGAGGTTCCACTGTATATAATATAAAAATAAAACTAATGATTTACATGCTTATCGTATTAATTATACTTCGTTTCAATGTCAACAATCTTCTGATTTTTCATATTTACCGCATATATTTTTACACGATAAAAACAAATTTAAGTTATTAATATTTCATTAAAATATATAATTTATATAGAAACATAAATTGCATTTAGTTAATTGGCATATATAAAATGTTTTAATTATAATAATGAAATTAAATTCTCAGCAATTCTCTCATTTTGTACAATGTATTGTTATGTGTTCATATTTCCTTAAAACGAGGTTTGTATAATCGAGGGATTTAGATAGCATCATCAAGGACAAGGTCGCAAGGACTATACAAACATAGTCCTTGCGTCAAAATAATGCTATATTATTCAATAATAAATTTAGACAATAGAAAAGGATTAGAAATTTACAAATTTTGTAAATATATTTATAATATTATTTAGTTATTATACAATTTTATTTATCAATACGCCTTGTATATTATCAGATCTTTCGAATTTAATTTATGAGACGTTGATAATAATTCAATTATTTGAAATATTTGTTACAGTACATATGTTCCAGATAAAGTGCGATAGATTAGATTTAGTTACAAAAATTAATTACAAGTCATTGTTTCTTGGAATTAATTATTTATTTAACCTATTATTTATTTGATAATTAAGATATTTAATATTGTATAATATTAAAACAAAAATACAAACATACTTAGTATAGTAAGGTTTCGATTAGTACGGATATTTGAAAATTTGAAAACAATCATTTATAAAAATTGGACATAGATTTTATTTCTCTACACAGTCAAGTTTCTCTCTGTGCATTTTTTGCTATTCTCAAGTCCTCGATTAGTGCGGTTTCGAACAGTGTGAAATTGATGCCTCTAGCATTGCTGTACATAAAAAAACTATAACATATGTCAATATTTTAAGTAATTTTGAATTAAGATTAGAATAAACTAATTCAAAAATGTTCATGTCTTATCTATGTAAGCAGGAAATGTGTTGTCGAAGGTCAAGGTTTGATAGAGAGCAAGTTTTTTCGTGTTTAATATATTGACATAGAAAACCATTATAAGAATATTAGATATTCAGAAATTCTCGATGATAAAAATGCTCGCGAATATCCAGTTTCCTCTTCATATAATAAAGGAAAGTGAACAACGGGAGTTTCGCAATTGTCGACCTACTTATTAAGTTTTAAATTACTTTCGATATATTCGATCCTCGCGCGGAATGCTTCCGTTTAGTTTCAATTTGCTTCAAGTTCAAGACGACTTTCAGCAAATCAAAAGAATACGAGAAAACAATTTTACCCTTTAATAACGAATTCGAATATAGATTCAAATGGACTCTTGAAAGTCTCGTTTAAAGCACTGATCTTTCAAAACAAGTTTAGTTTAGTTGAAACATTTTAGTTGTTTGTGTATAAATAAATATTTACTATTATTTTAGTGCAAACGTGTGAAATGACACGAACGGATAAATTGATAATATTTTTGGTCTTATCTCAAATATTTCCATTGAAAATCTCGAGTATTTATCCATAAATTTAGAACAATTATTATTGCTAACCTGCTTCTGAATAATATCAATTTATACATCATATAATAAAAATATTAAACATTTATACAAATTTCAGTAATATCCGTATTAAAAGCATTATTATTAAAACAATCTCAAAACTAGTTATATTATTGTCATAAAGACAATCCCATTTACAAAAAATAAAATATGCTCCTTTTTGTTGTTTACCAAAGACTTTTCATCAATTACATTTTGATGAATTTTCTAAGCTTGTCGTACTTTCTTTACAATATTACAATTTTTTTACAGTAATACCTCGCATAGTGCGGGCAATCAGTTCCGTCAATACTGTTTGAAACTTGATTAATTGATATTCTTTATGTGGCTTGACCAAACACTTTAGTATAGCAACAGGTTAAATACATAAACTACATAGTAAATATTAATTTTGAAATAAACACGGTACTTTTATAAACCGTTTCATTTGTAACATGATTAAAATATTACATTCAAACCTCTCATACATGTCTGAATATTGTATTGTAAAGACACAAACTTTGGAGAAGTCACTAGATCTTTTAACTCCCAAATGGACCTACCGCAATTTGAAGTTTATAAACTACTAAACGTGAAAAAGAAATATAATAATTTAAATAATATTAAAATTTAATATTTGTGAAAAATAATTTAAATTTGTATAAAGAATATCATAAAATATTATCACAAATATTAAAATTAAAAAAAAAACTCAATTTTGACATAGAATGTTTACCAACAAAAGAGTAAGCTGCAAAATTATGACAATTTTATATATGTTTTCATTAGTATTTAAATTAGATTATAGTCAGACCTCGTTCAATTATTAAATTTATTTATTGATATATGTTAATGTGACCTTTTAAACATGCTTAATTGGGCATTATTGCAATTTTTTAGGAAATATATAGGAAAGAGGAATTACCATTTAATTTGGTTGGTAAGTTAAGGGATTAATTTTGATAGGCCATACCACCTGATGTTGATTCAGTTGACGAAGTTATCTGATTCAGTTGTCTAAAAATTTGTTGCGTCCATAAATTTAGGAATTTTTAGCTCCCTCTCTTATCGTCTACATACGCTATCTTTTATGAACGCATTCTAATCGCTAAACTAGGTCTGACTGCATACAGTTTTGTTACGTAATGTTATTTTTCTAATAATCTTTTTTAATTATGTTTTAATTCTTATTTCTAAATAACGCGGTTTAGCACAACACGAGATTTTCTTGAAAGGTAAATAGTTACTAGAGCTTAGTACGTATACCTTAGATTACATACTACCACATTTTTTTAGTTAGACAACTGAATATTGAGATTAACTACTGGATACTTACGGTGCGAGGAGTATTGTAATCCAAATAAATGAGTAAACTGAACAACAACTTATTAATAGTGTATTATTTGCAACGACGTCGTCGTCAAGCTATTCGACAATGGAACCAACTGATGTCTGGCTGCTTGCCGTGCGTCCGCCGTTGCGTGTGTCCTCACATTCGCGTCGCGATAAAATTGAAAGCGATTTCGCTACGAAGGGGACTTACAGTTTATATATTTTCAATGACTCACACGGTAATTCCCCTCTTTCTGACTAAAGTAAATAATGAAAAATACCGATGCGTGCTTATTTCGTTCGATTCTTAAAACGAAAATCGCGTTGTGCCAGGGCCTTTTAAAAATAGCTACGTTACTTGTTAATCTGCACGAACTAAACAAGTACATGTTTTCTAATTATTTGGATAAGATAAAGTACATTAAGTACTTTTTTTTGTTTTTACTAATTATCAATGAAGATTATGAATTATGGTTCTAGCGTATCCATATATGTCAAGGTTATGCTCAAGTTTTTTTGTGTATTGTGTATATATCCTTACTTTATATACAAGAAGATATATAAGTTGCCTAACAATACCTTGCAAGTCATAAATTATTTACATAGTCGCCTGTATCACGAAAATCGGATACGAAAGGTCGTTGCTTCGATTCTCAAAAAAACAACAAACATTTGTAGGGGCCGAAAAACCCAAAAAGGGGTATAAAAAGAACCTAATAAAAAAATAAAAATTAGTTATTATAGATTGGTTTATTAATATTTCAATAATTTCATTACACTTTAATTTGTTTCATTTTATAGGAAAACTCAAAAAATCAATTTGAACAAATAATGTCTTCAAAAAAGGACAAACATTATATTAACAAAAAGTTAGTAAATAAAAAAAATAGGGCTTAATTTTCATTAGCCTAGAAGTTATAATATACATACAACTTGTTAAGTGTATTTTATCAATTTGATAATTCGGAAAATGTAGAATCATTCAATTTTTTTTTGTTAAACTACTAAATTTTGAATGATCTAAACATAGTTATAGCTATTAACACTAATGATAACGTATAAAATTATGTAAACAACATTAATAACAGCAAATTGTAATCTATTAATAACTGTTTAGCACTTCATAAATTACAGTAACGTAAACAACAGTGACCTCATAATACATTTGTAAAATGTTCACAAATTATGGAAATATTAAATTTGTATAAACAAAAATTAAATATTGACAAAAAATTATAAAATAAAATAATATTAACTAAATAACTTTCGACCAAAAGGCTATCGACTGAAGTATATCTGACAAAATAAAGTATAGATAATTGCTCTTATTTAAGGGTAATTAATTAATTCCATTTAAACTTAAATTACGCTTACTGTAATTATTATTTATTATACAATCATACCTCGATTAATGTTACCTGATAACGAAAACCGTAATTTTAAGTCATATTTAACATGAAACAATATTCTTATTTGTACTAGAAGCCAAAAGTAATATCTAATCAATAGGTTTTTAAAATAACAATAAAGACGATGAATGCAGAAAATAAAGGTTTTTCAACGAAGACAAAGAAAATTAAGATGAAATTAAAGAAGCTGCAACAAGCTAAACAATTGAAAACAATTTTTTAGTGAAAATAATCCAGATTTAAGAATAAGTATTTTTGCAAAGTGATTAGTGTTAAATGCAATAACTATGTATGGGCAAATTGTTAAATTAAAAAGAAATAGGACAAATTATGAACTTTAAATGTGATTTAACTTTGTATGTAATTAGACTGTATATTTAATAAAACTTTTCTTTGTTCGAAAAAACCTTTTCATTTTCTATACGAAGTACGTTCATTCATAAAATAAATGGAAAACTCCGTTCTGGTTATAGTAAAAATCTCTGAAAAGAAAGTTTTGATTAATTCATTTTATTAAATGCATTTTAATCCATGTTAATGTAGCAATAAAGAGAAAAGTATTAAAAAAACGTTTTTAATAAAAAAAAATTGTAATATATTGACAATAAAATGTGATAATATAAATACAGTAGAACCTCGAGCACCTCTTATAACGAGTAATTCGCATAACAAGCAAAACAAATTATAAAAAAGATGACTCGCTAAACAAGCGACATTTTGCATAACGTGACGAGGAATGACGAGTGACGAGGAAAAGTGAATTCCCGGATTGTGTGCCTGATAAATCGTTTTCTTGTGCTCAGATATATATTTGTGATTTTTTTTTGTGTGTGCCAAATTTAACAACCCATGCAAAAATTGTCCCCCAAGAAAAAGCTGCAAGAAATCATCCATAATACAATGGATGGTTCATTTCGCGACAGAAGAAAAAAATGACCAATGATTCACGCTCTATAATAAATGTTCTACATAAAAATGTTTGAGCATTTTTTTCTGCATGGAACGCATTATAGTATTTTACATATGTAGTATTATACATATGTAAGCTAAATATACACACATATGTGCACTTATAGAACTGGACGAACTTTTCAAATATAAAACAGTGGAAGCAATGTAGTAGTAAACTTTCCGAGAGTGTCTGCATTATAATAGATGACTTTTATGCGTGAAATAATAAAATACTAATACTAATATTAAACAAATACATATATATATAAAAAATATTATAACAATTACCTTATAGAATATACAGGACTTATTTATTTCTACTTTTTTCCTACTGATGTAATTTTTTCCGCTAATATCCGCCCAGACTGTTTGAAACCGCTCAAAAACTGCACAAAAAGAGACTTCACTGTATATAAACAATGCTATAGTTAATACGCAACCGCACTATGCGATGTATATGTATATAATATACATACTAATGTTGTTTATTGGTACATGATTCCATTATATTTTTTTAAATTATTTATTTATAATCATTTCAATTTAAAACGTATAAATCATTGCAACTGGTGTTTTATTATTGTCTGTAAGTGTAGAATACAACTACATTATTTATGATGAAGTTATTGCTTAATTTTCAGTGTTGCAATACTGACTGCTCAAATACTTTACATTTATAATTTTAGAATTGAAAACAACCCTTTAATTGTTTAGTTCCTTCGCAGTTGTAGTTTACACAGCGTGAAACTGACGATGTTTTGGGTTGCTACGTCTCGACCGAATGCCCATTTATACCACCGTGAGGCATTGTCAAGATATAGTAATATTGCCCCGAAAGCAATAAGTTTCTTATTATACGAAACTCGGCCATTAGCTAATTCCGAATGCACAGGATTGTATTTTAGACCTTGTATAGAACTGAACTCGAACGGTTCGCAAGCAAATCGTTAATCATTTCTACGGAATTGAAATGTTCAAACTCAACAATAAATATCCAAGAATATCGTTATGTAAACTTCCAGGAATATATACGAAGATAACTGTTTTAAAAAGTTTACGCATTGTACATGGAGATAAATCTGTTAAGAATTTTACTTCAACTAAATTATTTATAAACGTATATAAATCCTCGTTAAAGCAAAATGTAACTTGCTAACTCTGTCGGCTCTTAATCTGGTTACGTATAGTATTAACAATGTGAACGCTGAAACAAGTAAAGTTTAAATTATATTCCACTTTTCGTTTATTATAAGGATTATAAATATAGCAATACCTCGCATAGTGCAAGTAATCGATTCCGTTAATATCATTGATTGAAACCGGACTAATCGAGAACTTTAATAATATAGAACTCGCGCTTTAACTTGTTACAACGTAGGTAGCGTGGGATACATCTCTATTCCACATTCATTACTTGGTTATGATACACATGAATCCAATGTGAAGTCACTACTATGGTAACAAACATACTATGAGCTATAAAATAAGTTTACATGCAGACTGGTCTAAAGAGGTTTGCAAGAACGCAACGAAAGACACTTTAACAATCTTGGTATCATTTGTATTTGTATCCCGCGCGTGCTCTGCTTTGACATTTTCTAACCGGTCTATAAAGAATCAAAGCTGCACAATGCGAGACATAAAATTGAGCGTATTGTACGTGTTTTACCACTGTTTTATTTATTGTTGAGATGAACCTACAAGAGAAATTTTCAATTACATTATTGTAACATGATATGTGTTATTTAATCAGAAATATAAGCTGCGATCAATAAATTGCCTAGCTTCTGAAACGGAGGGCTTTAATTAAATGAAGTAATTAATTTCACACATTATAATTTATATAGCAAAATATAGATAATTGAATGGGTACATGATTAACGAAGAATGAAATAGAAAATTGAAATATAGTAACAGTAACTTTAATAGAATATATACAACTTTTACGATTGTTCTGATGTTTTGCACATCAACTGTCAATCTGGGTTATACATTTGGAAACGGTGCAGTATGCTCACGTGAACTTCGAAAATCCTGCCCTGAAATTACGTAACAAAACCAGAAACAAAGTTCGTACACAAACTCACGTACATAGACGGATATGAGAAATGCCAGTAGTTAGTTCTACGTGAATTTTACAAACAAACCGTTACAGCAACTTTGATTTAATTTGCATCCAATCTCACCTTTGTCAGAATAATCATTTCACGTTCGTTTGAATATACATTTAACATACGTTATTTGCAGCAACATTCATTATTTAGAATTTCATCAACACATCAATTAATAGTAAATAAATTAGATAATTATTACATAATTACATTTTTTTTCTATTTTGTCAACAGATCAATTATGTTATTACATAAACACTAATAAATCATATATTTAACATACATTGTTTCTGCAATATTTTTTTTACTTACATAATTTGATCAAATTATAAATTTTATAAACAACATTTAATATGAAACAAAATTTAATATAATATTTTTCGAATTTGTTTTATCAATAGATAAATTAAATTTATATAATAATATTTCATAAGCATATAATATGTTTTATTATAAAAAGTACAAAAAGTATAATATTTTTTAAATCTGTAATGTTTATTATTTTTAAATTAAAATAGTGTCAACACTTCAATAATAACCCTGTTATTCAAGTATTGACTCAATTGATGTTATTATTTTAGTCGATATTCATATAAAAATGAACATTCATTTCCAGATTTTGATTTTAATAGATGTTCTTAATTCTAAAAGATTTTGCTAATTGCACAAAGTAATGCTAGAAAGAATTTTGTAAAAGTATATTTTAAAGAAACCGTGTAATTTAAGTAATCTGGTAAACGAGAATTTTATTTGCACAATCAATATATGAAGGATAATTAACTGCAGTATTTTTTTCAAAATAATTATGTAATTATTAATTGTTATATAATTTATGTAGTTATTGTTAATATTATTTTCTACAATGAAAAATAAAATATTTTTAATAAGGAAATTCTGTAACCAATAATATAGTTCACAGTAATAATAAAAAAAATAACACAGTGAATTAAAAAGAACAAGTAAAATATTATACTTATTATGTATTTCTCTTTCATCTAAACTAAATATTGTTTTAAGAATACAAATTACATTGTGACATGCGATAATTGCAGTTCGGTTTATATTTATGTGACTAGCTGCCATGAACATGCAATTATATTGTTCTTTTTGTCTGAGAATCATGTAAATGTTAACATGCAGGGACAAGTTTCAGTAAGTTCAATGGAACATTCCCAATCAATACATTATTTGAAACAATGAAATGAACAAAACTAAATAAATTGTATATCTTTCTATTATAGTAATAAGAAATAATATATTTTAAATATTGCTATTATTATTATTAAATAGATAAATAATCAATGGTATTAATGTTCATAATGGGTATACAAATTGACATACGTTTTGTGAATGTGCGTTAATTTCGTATATTTATGATTTTTTTCGTATAGATTTGTATTTTGTTTTACATGGACGTACTGGACGTTCGTACGAACGTACACTGTGATGTACAAAATACAGTGGAACCTCGCTTAACGCTCAAATATGTGTGTGAGTGGGAAAACAGTTTCTGGTGTTAGTAGTCATTCTAGTTGTATCTTAGTGTTGTTTGTGATCACAAAATTTTCAAACTTGTGTTCAGACATGTAATTTGTGATTTTTTTTGTGCAAAATTTAATAACACTGGCATGTCTCCGAATAAAAATAACCATAGATATGAAAATCAAAATCATGAAAAATCGAGATCAGCTTATACTTTTTTTTCTCCGATATGGAACAGATTAACGGAATTTACATTGGTTTATATGAGAAAACGTGTTTCACTATGCGAGTATTTCACTATAATAGTAAAAATCCGGAAATTTTGGAATGGATTAAGCCTGGTTCTACTGTATTTCAATTTTATTTCTATAAGACGTGATACTATTTCTTCCCTAAAAATGAATTTTATAGAATAATAGATGACTTTTGTAAATTATGTAATTACTTAAACACCAATATTATACATTTAACATACAATTTACTGTATTTTTTTAATTGTAGTAATTGATTGAAGAACATTTTATATTATAATTCAGTAATTATATAAATATCATCAACCACATGTAAATTATATTTAAGTTAATATTTAATATATGTTGAAACATAAATCTATAAAAGTATGCACGTGTATCTTTGTTCGCCCGAACGTACTCGATGATCATACGAACGTATACTTTGTCAAAAAAATATTTGAATTTTATTTCATCACTGGATATGCTATTTATATTTATTCAAAGAAAAAGAGATTTGTAGAAAAACAGATTTCGACTTAAACTGAACTGATTTTAAATACACAAATTTTGTTGCGTGTAAAAACGCTGATTGGACAAATTAACATCATTGTACGTTCGTATGGATATATGTATACGCTAGTTCAGACAACACATGGTATTATAATTTGGTAATCTAATTACATTTTTTTTTCAGACTGTTTCTGTAACTATATCAGTATTAACACTGACTTTCATCTCCGTGGACAGATGGTATGCAATTTGCTCTCCGCTGGAATTTAAATCGACTACACGACGAGCCAGGACTGCAATCCTTGTCATCTGGATTTCATCTCTAATATTTGGTAATTTATTGCAACGAAATGTTACTTTACGTCCATCGTCATAAATCTAACCATTAAGAAAGAATCAAAGTTTTTCATAGCAAAGATATCCGGTGTGTGTTTTATTGAGTAAAATAACAGACATAAGGCTTTTTCTACTTTTCCACAACCCTAAACCGGAAGGACACAAACTGAACACTCAATCTACGGAGTCTGCTTTATTGCTTTTACTGAAATCCCCGACAGCGAAAACTGTTAATTTAAACTTTTTCTGTGCGTCGACCCCTTGTTTCTATGTGTTTTCCCTCAAGCGAAGGCTGAAATTACATCTAACTAACATTTGTTAGAAAGTCACCGAATTCCAATCAAAGATTATTCATGTGGTTTCGGTTTAGTTTCCTAATTGTTTCAAACAATTAAAGTTTCTTTATTAGGGTTACATAAAAGCTTGTGGTTATTATTGCACAACATGAACATTCCAATTATATTTCATATACATGCAAATGAGCTATTGAATTATATTAAATTTAATATAAATAATTAATAAAATGTATGGAAAGTTACAGTATTATTTAAATGCGAAGTAATAAAGTTACACAGTAATTTTAATTAAAATTCATTTGATTTTTGTATATATTAGAATTCAACTAACTCTTATATTAATACCAAATAAACCTAGTCTAATATCTACAATTTTGTCAAAATTACTACATTTTAAGTTAATACTTAATGTGTTAATTATGTAAAATATTTACTAAGTATAGTTTTATTAAACGGCGCAATGCTATTTAAACCCGGACTATGCGAGGAAATCAATACATTCAAAAATAAACTCTACAAAAAGAGAGTGGTTTGGTTTGATCTCAAATAATGACTTCACCTTGAAACAATGTAAGCTTAGAACAAATATAATATAATTTCATGATAATGTAATTTCAGTTTATTGTACATCAAATGTAACTATTTGCTAGTTTTTCTGTCGGGGAAGTGAAATTATGTTTGAAAACCGAGACAATTTAATGGGATTTTTTTTAGAAACAAAATTTCACCGTATTCCACTTTTCTTTATGAGTATATCCATGCAACAATAATAAAAAAAAGTATAAATTAAGAGTTAGAACACATTTCACCATGCTCGAACTAAACATAACTCAATTCTAAAAGCTATTAAGGTGATACAAATTGAATTACCTAACTCGCTTCGAAGTTTGCGTCCGCGGTCAAATTTATTCCCATTGCTGTTTGTTTCCATTTCACTATCAATGAAAAATCACCTTTATCTTGAATACAATATCGATATTTGTTAAACATTGATAATTGCAAGTGTTGACAGTTTCAATAGTTGAATGATTTTGATAGATAATAAAAATTTACAAAAGTAAAAGCATATTTAATTTCAGAGAAATTAATGTTTGTACTCATTATTTAACATGTTAAAATCAAATTAGTAATTAATTTATATTTTAAGATAAGTACAGCAATACGTCACACAGTGCGACTTTGATCAGTGCGAATTCAATATAGTACGTTCTAAAAATTTCAAAAGAAAGTAAACATTAATTGATAAACTAAAAAAAAATTCTAAAATAATAGTACACAACATTATTTATTTAAATATAAATTTTTTATTTTCATTCTACTCCAGAGAGAACCTTTTTGGAATTAAGAGATATTTTTAAGATATTGTCTGTTTATTCTATAGAAAATACCTACCGTTAGCTTATGTTGAGTGGGAGAGTTGGGAGTCACAATTTCTCACCTGTACAATCAAGTTTTTGTGATCTCAAATCAAACATAAGATTATTGTTATGTGGTATTAACCAGTAACTACTACTAAACTACTACAAATTCTAACAAGTAATTATGAATAAAAACGAATATCTAAAACTTTCCCCGGTATGGTATGGTTTAGAATACAGAAAAATATATATAAAATAAGATGTTTATTTTTTTTCTTTAAAATTATATCTTTTATTGGCGAATCTACATAAACATATCAGGTACAAATAAACAGGTTTATGAAAAATTATGCAACAATGCGATACTTTTCTATCCTTTTACGGTCAAATTGACGTTTAATTGCATTTTTCTATTTGTTCTATAAACATATTGCGAAAGAAAGGGATAAAGGATTGCGAAGTGTTTTCATCATTCCATTTGTCAAATAAGCCCAGAATTCTATAGTATTGTAAATGCAAACAGCTTACCGAATCCTCCCTCGCAATATGAGCGCATTCCAGTTTAGTTGTTTGTTAGCTTTTGCTACATCTAAATATTTTGTTTGCATAATTTGGTTATATTTCAAATGCGGCCACTATTCGTAAGTGTGGAAGGTCAAAGGGCTTTGATGTGGCCAGACAGTTTGAGCTGTTCCACTGAGCGACACACGCACACGATTTCAGAGACACACTGAATATTTACGTAAATGTAAATGGTAATTGAAAAGGTTTTCCGGTATTATTTTGGTATTAAACACGCCGCTAAACCATTCAGTGGTCCTATTAATTTCATTTCCCCGAGTTTCCGACGAATGCAACGGAAATCCTCGCACACTGCCTAAAATAAACCGCTTCCCACGATATAATCCGATCTATAAATAAAACTTTTTCACGTCCTCCGCAAGGAAAAGTTAAACATTTAATTTGATACTGATTTATGTATCTTTCAGATATATCCTCGTCTTTAAATAAATCGCCACTTTAATTGGGTTAAGAACGTTAAATTTGCAGTTCCAAGGCATATATCACTTTGGTTGATACTAGAAATAATGAAGCCTTCATTGTATTAATGTAGTTTTTTTATTTAGATATCACTAATATTATCAGAATTAGATACATTTATTTGATATGTTGCATTTATATAATTATGAAACATATGACAAAATTTTATATGCTGTAACTCAACTGTAATTAATTGAATAATTGTAAGTAATTTCTTTAATAAATTGTAATAAATAAAATAAATTCTTAATATTCAATGATTAATGACATTCTAACGTTTATTTCCAGATATTCCCGAGTTGGTCGTGTATTCCTCTCGCCCGAATGCCAATGTCGAAATCGAGACAATCTATTTCACAGATTGTGCGCCTTCGTGGTCGAAAGCGACGGAGACTAAATGGGCCGGTCTCAAGTTCTTCCTGCTCTATGCCATCCCATTATGCTTTATGACCTTCACTTACACCAAAATCATCATGGCTTTATGGCAGTCTGGCCACTCTCATCAGAAAATTAGTAAGTCATTAATATAAATAAATCATGTCTAATCTTTGAAATTTAATTAATCGATTCAAAAACTTGCAAATTAGAAGATAAAATGTTCGTTATTTGATGCTTTTATCTATTATTGAATGATGGAAAGTTTTTCATATTTATCTTATTCTTAGTATTATATCGACATGTAGTATTTATATTAAAATTTCAAACTTCAAAAGGAACGTGAAAAGTATCAATGACATTCAACTACTCAAAATGTTCGTATTTTTTTTAATTAAATCTATAAGTACACTTAGAAAGTATAAAATAAAATATTGGGTCGACAAGAAAGTACTTTACGCTTATTAGTGTAAACTAAAACTCTTTTTTTTTGTATACAATGAATGAACTTTATATATTTTCCATTATGTTCATACAACTTCATGATTACGTGCTCATCAAACTGCTGGTCCTTATCAGCAAAAAACTGAACCAAGTGCGATTTCACATTATCATAATTAATGAAAGTTTTACCATTAGATCAGTTTTTCAAACGTAGAAAAAAAAATGGTAATCTGATATTACAAAGTCTCCAATCATACTAGACGAGTTACCAAAGATGTACGGATTTGCATTGTTTTGGAGAAACACGATTTGCTAATTCTGGTCATTTTTCTTTGATTGATTCCTCCAGTTTCATTAGTTGTTGACAGTAAACATCTGTATTGATCGTTTGGTTCTTTGGATGCAACTAAAATACACAAAATACCTTCGTAATAACACTAAATTGAAAGCCTGATATTTTCTATGAAATTCAGCACAAATCACGTCGACGATTTGTGCTGGTTCATCATGTTGGAATCATGATTGTTTTCGTTTGATGTTATTATCAAAAAGTAAAGATTTCAACTAAATTGTCTTAAGAACTAACATTAATATAAACATATGATAATTATATAAAGAAAGAGAACATTGTAACTTAATTATTTTATATATTTTCAATAATAAAGAAGATATTTTACTAAAATATAATATTTATGTATTTACACTATATAAATGTGCAGGTTAAAGTTTAAAAAAAATATATTAAATTACCTTTTTTCTTTCAATTTGTATACAATTTCTTATAAATTATGTAAGAATTCTTGTTCATATTAAATTATTAACCGTTTAAAATACTTAACAAAACTAAGTTTTATCTATAATTGTTCACGTCGGAAACAGAACGAGAACAAAGGCGAAGAAAATGAATCGGATCAAGGGAAACCGAAATTCCGACAATAGAATATAATGGAGTTTAATACCGAACCTACGCAGGTTAATTGAAATAAATTACGCGATTTAAATAAATCTCGGGGGGAAAACGTATTCAGCTACAGTTCGTTACCTTTTGGTGCTTCAAAAGAGAAAATTACATGCAGTTTCCCCTCCCCCCAAGCGAGTGATTTTCTAGATAAAAGCACCAACTGAAACTAAAGAAAATAATGCCGTACCGCAAAGAAACTAATTTAGAGACAGTCAAACACATCCTTCGAAGAGTTTATGACATCTCAATCTGCAGGGAAAACCAGAAATTGATCATTGTTTTTCATTTAAATCATTTCGTTTAATTAATTCTTCCAAATATAAGATTGCTTAATATTTACGTAGTAGAAAAGGGGGAGAATGAAAAGAAAAAAAGCTATTTCCCTTTACGACCTGGCGCATCCGGAATACCGTTTGCAGTTAATTAATATGAAAGGTTACGGATCCGCTTTAATTAGCTTTTGTGGTGGATCGCGCTGATGTTAAAAAAAGTTGCAGTTTTTTTTTTTTTAATATTTGTTTAATGACTAGTTGCATTAAAATCGTTAAATTTAAAAGGCTGTTTTTTTGTTTTGTTTGACATCAATTTTGCATAAGACAGATCAAATTCAATTTATCTTCTAAACTAATTTATTTATAAACTATTCAAATTTAAAAATTAAATATATTTACATAATATTCATTTGCTAATATTATAGTAATAGCAACTTTAAATATATTAATAAAAAATAGATTCAAATAAATAGTATCCATTCAATGATATTAGAGTATAAGAAAATAGAATTTTATAAAAAGTAAAGAGGTTTCCTCCTTATATGCTATTTAACAATGAGATCGTTTGGCAGTGGTATTAATAGTTTATACTTTAGCAAATTGAATGCGTTTTACCAAAACGCAATTTTATTTCTAAACAATTTGCGCTCTTTTAACTTTATAAAACTGCTAACCGTTAGTACTTTATTCAGTATTTATTTTAAATACGTTACATTTTATTCATTTGTACTATTATTTTTTTAATTTTATTTTAATCAATTATGTTTAAACTTACATAGTAGATTTATTTAACTTTTGTCTACTTTAATTTTCTCAATATAAGATATTTATCTTTTTTAAATAATTGAGTTAGAACATATATGAAGTTAAGGTTTATTATAAAATATAAATTTGTCATTTTTTAATTAGCTGTGATTGACGAGTATGCTCGTCATGGTGAAATTTCAATATTTTGTATTGTGACGAGTATACTCGTCATGCGTAAAAAGTAGTTACCATTTGCTATTAATGAAAACTAAAATATATTCGTAAATTTCAAAATGTTTAATATACGTGGAGAATTGTTACGAAAATACTGTAAACATTGTGAACAAAGATGTTTTTTTCAATCTAAATGTTTTGTACGTAATAAAAAAAGTTTTGTATGCTTGCAAGCAGAGTTCTGAGTCAGATCAATCATTTTCTGCGATATCGTCAAAAAGCAATCCTACACGAAGTTACATTGTTAAAAAAATAATATTTGGCAAGAATCAAGATATTTATGTTCGACTTTCTGAGTATTTTATATATTGTACCTTGCACTGCTCAGTATCGTTCCAAAACAGCCGATTTAATTTCTATCTAATCACTTTTCTAAGTAATTGATTTCTCTTGTTTCGATCCTTCATATGGAAACTATATATGTTTATGTTAAGTAAATAAATTTTATTAAATCAATTATCAATTTCATAAAAAAAAGACAATAGTCATTTGATTACAACTTAATTCAATATTATAACAACTTCACATAATCTTTGTTTGACGAGGGTGAAATTGCGCGGTTGAACGAAATAAATCATTTTGGGGATTCAATTATTTATTTTCAACTTCTTATATCGCTTACACTTTATATACTAGAACTATACTCAACTAATGCTATCTTAATACTGTTTAACGGGCAGAAATACCTATGGCCAATATCCCTTTGTAACAGTTAATCTTTTGTTTTACTTTTATTATTGTTGTGAATGAAAATGTTTAATTTTGTTTTTAACTGTTACAATAAAGATTATTATTATTTATTACTGTTTAACTAATGTTTTTCACCGATGCTTAACTCTTCCGAGCTAATCTTTCTCGCCAACTTCAAGTTGTACATTGTTGCCATCTAAATGAATTGCAAAGGTGTCCAAAACTTGCCGTAGTAAAACTGAATATATAGCTTTTTATTTCTATTAAAATAAAATTAATAAACACATTACAATTATATAAAGTAACAAATAAGAAACAGATTAATATCACTAAAGATAAGATAATAAATATAATATATAGTAATAATATTTATTATAACAGTAATACATTAGTAAATATCAACAATCAAATCATACTACAACAATAAATAATAACCACAGGTTTTTCCATCCGAAAAATATGTATTAATATAGAATTTACATAATATTTCGAAGGAACTTTCAAATTACACTGAAGGAAAGAAAAGAAACACGAAAATAAAATAGACATAAATCATTAAATGGAATTTGTTTTTATATGCCTGCAATAGATTTTAGTAATTATTCTATGTTTGTTGAATATTTAAATAACTGATTACTTTAAATGAGTTATTTACGATCTAATAAAATAGAGTGCATTTTTTTCCTGTCTCTGAGAGAATATGCTTTCGGAGATTGGAAAGATCAATTCGATAATGAGAGTAGGAATCGTTCTGTTGGGACATTGTACATAGCTTGGACTTTTGATTCCAGAATCTGTGGATAACAGCCGCTGCAATTTTTCGATGGCATCAAATAGCAGCACCAGAGCACAACTGAGGTCTCGCAAGAGTGCAGCCAAAATGCTCGTCTCCGTTGTAGGAATGTTCGCTATCTGTTATTTCCCTGTGCACTTACTCACCATCCTCAGGTAAGTACATCAATAAAACTATCTTAGCTCTTCGTCCTCGCAAAATGGAAAAACTGTATACACTACAGATAAGATGAAGTGCACTCGTGGAACGTGGAAGATGTATAATTACAAATAACGGATTTAATTATTTTATATATACATTTATATAGAACGACCTCAAATCTGAGCGCACGTTTGATGTTCTGTATATAAATATTTAGGAGGCAATTCAGTCATGAAAATAAACTCATTGCGGATAGAATTTAATTTAAATTAATGTATCTCAATATTTCCACGTGAGTTTAATAATAATAATAATGTTTATTGCATCAGTCGTACAAAAAAACATATACAGAAATAAAAAGAACAAAATAAATATATATAATTTCAAAAAAGTTAACTGATACAAAAGGCTATTGATCATAGGTCTTTCTGCCCAAACGTGAGTTTATTATACTCGAAAAGTGGATGCGCCGGGTTATTTATTTCTTATTTTGAAAAACAAAAATATTAATTCATACATTTAAGTATACTTAAAATTATGTAATTATTTCATACACTTTTTTAATTTAAAATCATTTATATGGTATTGTTTTTTATCAATGATTTTTTATTATTAAATATTCATGAAAAGTATAGTAAAGTTATATTTTAATATTTAAAGAAATGAAATATACCATAATATCTTTTCGGACGAGTGGCGGATTTATTAGCACTGACGTTTACAGAAGAGACTTACTTTTTTAATTTCAAATAATTTATATTAGAGTCTTCAGTATACGTATATGTAATCGTATTGTTTCTTATCAATGTTTTTTTATTATTGAATATTCATCAAAATTATAGTAAATTATTATTTTAATATGTACAGAAATTACATATACCTTAATATTTTGCTTAGTGTGATCGATCAGTGCGGATTCTTTATAGACCGGATAGAAAATTATAAAACAAACTAAGTTACAATTTTTATACATAAATGAATTTTGAGGGAATTCAAGTCTCTTTTTGTGTTGTTTCTTTTTATTTGGTTTTAAGTCCTCGATTAGTCCAGTTTTAAACTGTACGTGACCGCATTATGCGAGACGCCGAACGCTGCAAATTTGCGACATAGCAATTGTGTCTTAAGTCATTTATATCTTAAAATATATACTTGCTGCAAACTTAAGTTAACAGTACATAGTTGATAGTTAATATATATATAAGTTTTGTATAGCACAAATTAAATTTTAATTATATCCGGCTTTAAGAGATTAAGTTATATTTTTTTAACTAATTCTCCATATAATTATTCTCCACACTTTTTTGGTTTAAAAAATACCACTTACGTTAGGTGTTTTAAAAGAATTTTACGTAATCGGATTGTTTCTTGTTGAGGATTTTTATATTGCATATTCATTAGAATTTCGTTCATTCGATTATCTATGAATAACAATGGGCGATTCCCGATTTTACACCGAAGCTATCGTCATTTTAATAAATTTCCAATTCAAACTTACACAAATCAAATATTCACATACAAAGAAAATTTCGGTTCTAGAATATTATTTCTCAAATAATATATCATGTTTTATGTTTCTGTATGATTCAATAAATTTGAAATAAAACACATTTTTTATACATGAATTGGTATAATAGTTTACGGACGAGCGGCGGATATATCCGCTTTAACCGTTACACAAGGGATTCAGCTTACATAATTAACGTTAATTCTTAGTGAGACAGAGCTGTCAAACGTCATTGTTTTTGATAAAACGTTATTTTCATGGAGGCGCAAAAAACAATTGAAAACGTGACTAAAAACTCTCCGTTCGCAGAGGGTTAGACTTTGTAATGGTTTTGTTGCAACAGGCGAATAAAGAGTTTTTATAACCATATAGGTGATTTTTCAATAATCTACATTTCTTTTTATTACTTAATTTATACAAAATCTTAATTTATATTAACATTAACATTCAAATTGTTAGTTCATATTATGTTTTATTTCTCCCATATACATAAAGTGAAGTTTTTTTTCTTGATATTTTATATATTTATTATGTTTATTTTATCCACTTTCGTGGATTATAAAATATATATTGTTATTATATAATTTAAGATTTTAAGTGTTGACATTATTTAATTTAAATTTACTAAATTTATTGGTATAACAAATCTAAAGACGGATTATATATATTTCATATTTATCTTAATTTTGATTTTCGAATATTTCAGTTTATAAATCGAAATAAAAACGAATTATGTGAGTAATCGAGGTTTCATGAAATAAGAAATAATTTTCATTAATAAGAAACATATTTATTTCATAGCTTCTATACATTTTTCCATTTATCGAAGTGAAAAGGTGCTTTAAATAAATTTAATTCTGACTAATTTTTTTTATGTAAACTTTCACAACTTTTCTTCTATTGATATTTTCAGGTTGACGAATGGTTTGCAGAATTCTGACCTGAACCGTGTACTTTCGATGCTGTCGCACTGGTTGTGTTATGCCAACAGCGCCGTAAATCCAATTATCTACAACTTCATGAGCAGTAAGTGCTAAAATTTTATCGGCGCTATAAAAGTTCAATGCAAACGGAAACTTTACCGTTCCTGCTTATATACAATTTGAATATCCTGCTTGGAAGTTACCTAACAAGCGTACTCGGCAAAAGAAACGGTGAACTTGGCATTTTTTTTAAATAATTCAAGTAGGTGTACATTGTACACATTCATATATACAGCAATACAAATAAAAAAAAACATTTACTAATATCATCTATAAGCTTTATTTTATGTATTTCAAAAAATAATTTAAATACGACTTAATCTAGTTCCGCATTTTTTTGTTAAAATTATTGTTAAATTATTTTTTTGCAATTTTATTGGATTAAAATTAAGTATTCTCTCATAAAATATACTGCATATTAAGAATAGTCAAAAAAATTAAATAAATAATTCTAATTTCAATCAATAAAGAATTTTTTTGTTTATTTTCCTTAATAATAAAGAAATATTCTTAATAATTAAATATTTATTTATTAATATTGCGTTTTAATCGATATTTTAGTTAAATAATGAACGTACTTTTTTCCTAATAGCAGATCAAATTTTAATTATTAATTTGCTTATCAAAGTAAAAGTTGCCTTTAATCCAATCAGAAATCGGATATTGTCTGTGTTTATGTGTGCAGAAAACTTCCGTCAAAGCAAATTCAAGGCAAACTTCATGCCAAACTTTCGTTCCCTGCTCTAAATATAATATGATCTGTCCATATTAATTATAATATCTTAACGAACAAGTAAACTACTTCTTGTAAAATTAATTTCTTGAACCCATTTTAATTAGCTTTATAACTTAAATTAAATTTTGTAAATAACTTGAATTTTAAGATACTGAAATACATGGTATAGTGCGGATTTGATCAGTCTTTTCATCATCTAAAAGTCGATTAGTCCGGTTTCTGATAATGCCATACATAATGAGTGATTTTTTTTTAGAGATTAGGTAACTTATCATTGAAATTGGTTATGTAAATTATTTTTTAAGGAATGGGAAGGAATACGGGTCTTTAATGTTCTTCCTGAACAATTCGATTCCCGAACATAAATCGAAACAAAACTCGGTTTTCGAACATAATGTCAGTTCTCTAATAACTAATAACCATATACGAGATATTACAGTGATACAATAACAAAACCTAATTAATTTCTGTTTTCGAACAATAACAAAAAATATATTTTCTTTCGCTTTTCGCAGTCTTAAAAAAGACTGATATTATATTACTAATACATTAATAAAACTTTAGCTTTAATGATTAACATAGTTATTTTTCAAAAAAAAGGATAAACTCAAACATAAAATTAAAACAAAACTCGGTTTTCGAACATAATTTCATTTCTCCAACTAATAATTATGTATGAGATATTACAGTAACATAATATAATAAAATATTTAATTTCAGTTTTGAAACCTTAACAAAAAGTATATAATTTTCCTTTTTGAACAGTCTTTGTGAAACTATAACAAATACAAATGTTTTAAAAATACTTAAGATATTTTATTACTAATGCATTAATCAAATTTTAATCAATAATTATACAAAAAAAAAGTATAAATAAATACTATAATTGTGTTCATAGTGAAAAAAATATTCATAAAATGTCGCTCTGACCTGTTTTTGTATTATTATTGCCATCATATCAAGAATATATTTAACAATAAAATAATACAAATTTTCCTCCTTTGTAATTTTTAATATTAAAACTATTGTATAATACATTCGTTTCCTTGTTAAGGATAATACAGGAGATACAAAATATAAACCAGGAGAAACGGCTTCATTCCAAAAGATTTAGTGTCAACAGGGAAACTAAGAATGGATGCTCCGCTTAATAAGAAAGTAATATACTTTAAGGAGACGCCCAAGTTCATGACATTCGGGAAGTTCCCAATTGAAAAATTTAGCTCAGAAAAGTTTCGCGTTCGTAGAATATTGCGAAACGAGTGCAACCTTAGTGGGACAAACATAAAAACTAATACAATTTCGACTAACCAAAAAAAGAAATTACAGTTTCGTACTTTCACATATTTTTTTTTTTTAATAATTGGAAAATCATTAGTATGCGCTTCACATTTAATGTTTGAACTGTCTTTCCTGAACTAATACAATTTAGCCTTCAGTTATGAACTTCACGGAAGTTCCACTGATTAGATCGTTAATTCAAACGCTAATTGTGTTTATCTTCCTAAAAGTTACACACCAAATATTGATAATGATGGTATTAAATTTAAATGAATGCTCCATTTCATTTAAATTTAAAAAAAACTTGTTATATATAAATAATGATGTTATTTGATACAGCAATACCTCGAATAGTGCGGATTCGATCTGTTCGGATTCACTATAGTCGGGTTACAAAATTTCAAAAGAAAATAAATTTTAATTAAACAAAACAAATTCTAAAAAATAAGTATTTAATATAGTCAAGACTATTTGTGTGCGTTTTTTGTTCCTCGATTAGTCCGGGATATTAGCGGAACCGATTGCCCGCACTATGGGAGGTATTTAAACTCGATTTTATTTAAAAATAATTCTCATTTTTTCCTATATTTTTCTATGCAATTTTTTTTTGTCTGTTCATAGATGATAAATTTAAATTTATTCGCTTGAATTTATTCATTATATATAATGTTTTAATATCTTAGAAGTTTTTGTGTGAAAATATGTGCTATAAAAACAGATATGTTACGAGTATTTCCGTGTTTCCTATATCTCTGAAAAATTTTGATGTGGGGAATCTGATTTATGTCTCCATCGGTATAAAAAAAAAGGACGCACGCCGCGGGACCATCCTCTCCATTTCGACGAAAACGGATATCCGGGCACGACGGAAGAAGAATGCGACAGGGAATTGCCATCCGTTTCACATGGTCAATTTGCTAACTTTAAAATCGAATCACTTTACCAAAAGTATATTTGAGCACAAAAGCTTTGAACTTTACAAATGCACACACGTAGTTACTATAATTGATTTATTGGTCTATCTGTAAGCACTGCAAAATACGCCATCTATTAACTTAATTTATACTAACAATATGTTAATAAAAAAAACCTATGCATTTTTCTCGCTCGAAAATGCTTGCAACTGATTCAGAATCGCATTAAAAGTTGCATCTGTAAGTAGCAATATGTATGTGCATACACAAACTAACTTTTTGATATTCATACGACACCTGATTTCGTCTATATATACATATCGTGTGGTTTGATTTAAAATCTGTATTGAAAATTGGAAATAATCAAATTACACTAAAATTTACAACAAAGAAATACTTCGGTCCTAATTTGATGAGCCAATAAAATTAGCATTTTTTTTTGTTATGTCATAGTATGTTTAATTTACAATATTATTCCTAAAGAGTGGCATTAGACATTTCTTTTTTGGTAGTATATTGATGCTCTGCGATTCCACTATTCCCTTTGTCTGTGTATCTGCTGCTATCCTTAACACTGTCATTGTCCATCGCTTTGGCTGAAGGTCCGTATGAACCTCTTTCATTTGACAAATAAATAAAGAAATTTAAATTTGGTCCGAAAATCTATATTGAAAATTGGAAATAATCAAAGTATTCTAAAAATTGAAACAAAAAAATATTTTAGTACCAATTTGATGCACCAATAAAATTAGCAAATAAATAAAGAAATTTTAAAGTGTAGGTTAATATTTTTTATGAATTATTGATTGGAAAATTATCGCGTGAGTCGGAGCTCTCAAATGTATTTCATACTTGCGGGTGAATAAAAAAAACCATGGAAATGAATTATTCACGGGGAGTAATGCGCTTTTTGAATTCTCCTTGGATGAAAAGACGACTTCCTAATATCATTTACGGCAGATGTTCCGTGCATTTTCTCGTTCATGAAATTAAAAATCTAAAATAAAGTGTTTTGAATTGCTTTGGAAATAGTGTTACTAAACAGTTAATTTATTTTTCAACATTAAATTTGCACCAACTGCCGAGTTTTTAGAAATTGTATATACTTTGTATCATTATTAACCATAAACTAATTCAGTTTTACTTTGATAATAATTTATTTCAAATAAATATCCATTTATATTTATATTATAATTGATGAGAGAAGAAAATGTATATCAATTTGTCTTCAATTTTCCAATTTTGTAAAGAGTAATGTTTTCGTATGTCGTTCTTCAGCTCCATCAAAAATTGAAGAAAAATGTGATTCCCCAATTTTCCTACACTGACTGAGAATATACCACAACTAGATCTACACCTACCTCACTGTGGGTTCAACTTTACGCTAATTCGTATTGCGTCGTCTTTTACAGGAACGAAATTGCGGCTAACTGTACTTTTTAAATTTATATCAACAATTTAAAGTTCTACAATACTTGTCCCATGATTTCAGTTGTTTTTTTTTTACAAATACGTAAAAGTCTTAGTTCATAATTTAGATATATTTAATATTATCTTATAAAATAATAACTTAAAAAAATACAATGAAAACTTGCATGTCTACCATATTTCGTTCCTGATAGATAAGAAAACTAAATCGTTCGAAATGCGAATCCATTTCTCTTATAAGAATTAATTATGTTACATTTTTTTTTGTTTATTATTATTTTTAAAGCAATCTATCATCTGACATTGATATCTAGCCTTAGAATGTGGTAAAAGTAAGTTAAAAAAGGACACTATAAATAATTAATGAAGTGAAGATCCAGCAACCCCACTTCACATATACGTATAATTTTTTATGCACTTGCACA